AGGAACGGGGCACGGGGACAAGGGGGACACCGGGACACAGGGGACACCGGGGGGGGAAGCAGGGAACGGGGGACATGGGGGGCAGGAGGGGCACGAGGGGGAAGGGGAACACGGAGGGCACCGGAGTCATGGGGGACACAGGGGACACGGGGGGAATGGGGCATGGGAGGGCATGGGGGGCACGGGGACAAGGGGGACACCGGGGTCATGGGGGACACAGGGGACACAGGGTCAGGGTCCTGCCAGGGCAACTGGAGCACCGCCAGGGGTGTCAGGGGAATTCAGGGTCCTTTAAGGGGTGCAAGGTCCTGGCAGGGCGCAAACCCCCCCTGCCAGAGCTTCCCCTCCCCTCTGCGACCCCCAGGGCGGGATCCGGAGAGTTCCCGGGATCCCGGAGATCCCTGGGGATCCCGGGGGGACCCGGAGAGTTCCCGGGACCCCGAGGGGATCTGGAGAGTTCCCAGGATGCCAAAGGAGTCTGGAGAGTTCCCAGGGATCCCAAGGGGACCGAGAGGGTTCCCGGTGACCCCGATGGAGTCCGGAGGGTCCCCGGTGGTCCCGGTGACCCCGAGGGGGTCCGGAGGGTCCCCGGTGGTCCCGGTGACCCCGAGGGGTTTTGGAGGGTTCCCAGGGGTCTCAGGGATCCCAAAGGGGTCCGGAGGGTTCCCAGCGATCCCGGGGGATGCCGAGGGGGTCCGGAGGGTTCCCGGGGGTCCCGGTGACCCCGAGGGGGTCCGGAGGGTTCCCGGGGGTCCCGATGACCCCGAGGGGATCTGGAGAGTTCCCAGGATGCCAAAGGAGTCTGGAGAGTTCCCAGGGATCCCAAGGGGACCGAGAGGGTTCCCGGTGACCCCGATGGAGTCCGGAGGGTCCCCGGTGGTCCCGGTGACCCCGAGGGGGTCCGGAGGGTTCCCGGGGGTCCCGGTGACCCCGAGGGGGTCCGGAGGGTCCCCGGTGGTCCCGGTGACCCCGAGGGGTTTTGGAGGGTTCCCAGGGGTCTCAGGGATCCCAAAGGGGTCCGGAGGGTTCCCAGCGATCCCGGGGGATGCCGAAGGGGTCCGGAGGGTTCCCGGGGGTCCCGATGACCCCGAGGGGGTCCGTACTCACATCTTGGCCTCCCTCTCGCTCCGGCAGGCCACGTAGCGCTGCACCTGCGCCTGGTTGACGCCGTACATGGAGAGCCAGAGCAGCGTCCCGCCCAGCACGAACGTCCACACCGTGTACCGGCGGCGCGGGTCCGGGCTGAAACTGGGCACGGCCCGGGGCACGGCATGGCACCGACCCCGGGGGAGCTGGGGGTCAGCCCAGAACCCGGAAGGGGCTGGGGGTGAGCCCAGAGATCCCGAGATGGGGCTGGGGGTGAGCCCAGAGATCCCGGGAGGGGCTGGGGGTGAGCCCAGAGACCCCGGGAGGGGCTGGGGGTGAGCCCAGAACTCAGCACAGGGGGATGGGGGCTGGGAGTGACCCCACGGATCCCGGCGAGGGGGGTGAGGGGGTCTGGGAGTGACCCCAGGGATCCCAGAGCAGGGTCAGGGGAGTCCCGCGGGTTTTGGGGGCACAGTGACCCCTTCCAACACCCCGGGCAGGGGGGTCCCGCGGGTTCGGGGGACACGGTGACACCCCAGATCCCAGGGCAGGGGCAGAGGGGTCCCGCGGGGTTCGGGGGGGACACAGTGACCCACAACACCCAGGGCAAGGGGGTCCCGCGGGTTTTGGGGGGACACGATGACCCCACAGATGCCCGGGCAGGGTCAGGGGGGTCCCGAGGGATTTTGGGGGTACCCACTCGGCGAAGTTGAGCCTGGAGCCGTTGCTGGCGATGCTCAGCACCTCGGCGGGACCCCCGGCCAGCAGCGCCCCCCGGACGGCGATGGCCACAAACCCCGCGAGCATCACCAGCACCTGGAACACGTCGGTCCAGATGACAGCCTTCATCCCGCCCTGCGGCACGGCAGCGCCCTGAGCGACCGGACCCCGACCACCGGCACCACCGGCACCACCGGGACAGCCCCGGGACCACCGGGATCACCGGGACAGCCCCGGGACCACCGGGACCACCGAGACAGCCCGGGACAGCCCTGGGACCACCGGGACAGCCCCGGGACAGCCCCGGGACCACCGGGACCACCGGGATCACCGGGAGAGCCAAGGACCACCGGGACCACCGGCACCACCGGGACAGCCCGGGACCCCCGCCGGGACATCCCCGTGACAGCCAGGGACACCTCGGGCCACCTCGGAACCCCCCTGGACACCTCGGGACACCTCGGGACACCCCAGGATCCCCCGGGACCCCCCGAGACACCCCCCGGGGCACCTCGGGACACCCCCAGGACAGCCCGGGATGCCCCAGAAAGCCCCCAGAACAACTAGGACCCCCAGGACACCCCCCGGGGCAGCCAGAGACCCCCGGGACACCTCCAGGACATCTTCAGGACAGCCAGAGACCCCCGGTACACCCGGGATACCCCCCGGGACAGCCCAGGACAGCCCGGGACACCTCGGGACCCTCCGGGACACCCCCCGGGATACTCGGGACACCCCTGGGGACCCCCCGGCCCCCCCGCTCACGATGGTGGTGTAGAAGGTGCAGATGACCCCCGTGGACAGCAGCGACGCCCAAATGTCCAGCCCGGTCACTGGGGGAGAAGTGACAGTGACAGGGGACAGTGCTGAGGGGGGGAATTGTCACCTGGGGGGGGGACACAGGGACGGGGAGACCCCCCCCCGCCACCGCACACCTTGGTTTAGGATCAGGGCGGGCGCGTAGATGACGATCCCAGTGTAGAGCATCTGCGGGAACAGGGGGGCTCAGATACCCGGGGGGGTTCGGGGACCCCAGGGGGGGACAGGTTTCCGAGAGGAGACTCAGGGTCTCGAGGGGGGATCAGGGTCCCGAGGGGGGTTCTGGATCCCGAGGGGGGCTCAGGGTCCCCAGGGGGTCTCAGGGTCCCCAGGGGGGTCTCAGGGTCCCCGGGGGGGGTCTCAGGGTCCCCGAGGGGTCTCAGGGTCCCCTCGCCGGTGCCACGGCGGGGGGCTCAGCGCGGTTTTCTCTGCAAGCAGCGCCCCCGCCGCGCCGCGCTCGCTCCGAGCCAGCCCAAACACGAGCACGGGGCCGAGGCCGCTTCCCCGGGGGCTCGGGGCAGGGCCGCTGCCAGCCCCGCGCTGTCCCCGCGCTGTCCCCGAGGCCACCGCGCACCCACCGTGGCCACCACGTACTGCACGGTCCCGCAGAGCCGCACGCTCCGGCTGAATCGCCGCTCCAGGTACTGCGACAAGGACAAGGAGAGCGCCGGGGCCACCCCGGAGCGAGCCCTGAGCGGGGCTCGAGGGACCCCCAGAACCCCCGGCTTGGGGTTTTGGGGGGGGGGTCTCTGCGTCCCCTCACAGCCCCGTGGGACCGCGCTCCCCCGGCCTTGGGATTCTGGGGGGGGGGTCTCTGAGTCTCTCCCACCCCCTCTCCTCCCCTCCCTTGGTGTTTTGGGGGTCCCTGCGTCCCCCCGACCCTTCTCACCCCCTGCTCCGGGTGCTGGGGGGTCTCTCCCACCCCTTTTCACCCCCTCCCTTGGTGTTTTGGGGGTCCCTGCGTCCCCCCGACCCTTCTCACCCCCTGCTCGGGGTGCTGGGGGGTATCTTCCAGCCCCTCTTAACCCCTCCTTTGGGGTTTTGGGGGTCCCTGCATCCCCTCGCAGCCCCGTGGGACCCCGTTCCCCCTGCCTTGGGATTCTGGGGGGTCTCTGCGTCTCTCCCACCCCCTCTCATCCCCTCCCTTGGGGTTTTGGGGGTCCCTGCATCCCCTCGCAGCCCCGTGGGACCCCGTTCCCCCTGCCTTGGGATTCTGGGGGGTCTCTGCGTCCCCCCCAACCCCCCGGGGGTGGGGACCCTTCTCACCCCCAGCCTCGGGGTGCTGTGGGGTCCCTCCCAGCCCCTTTCACCCCCTCCTTTGGGGTTTTGGGGGTCTCTGCGTCTCTCACACCCCCTCTCATCCCCTCCCTTGGGGTTTCTGGGGGGTCTCTGTATCCCCTGACCCTTCTCACCCCCTGCTCGGGGTGCTGGGGGGTCTCTCCCACCCCCTTTCACCCCCTCCCTTGGTGTTTTGGGGGTCCCTGCGTCCCCTCGCAGCCCCGTGGGACCCCGTTTCCTCTGCCTTGGCATTCTGGGGGGTCTCTGCGTCTCTCCGAGCCCCTCTCCTCCCCTCCCTTGGGGTTTCTGGGGGCTCTCTGTATCCCCTGATCCTTCTCACCCCCTGCTCGGGGTGCTGTGGGGTCTCTCCCACCCCCTCTCCCCCCCTTGCTTTTGATTTTGGGGGTCTCTGCATGCCCCGACCCTTCTCACCCCCTGCTCCGAGTGCTGTGGGGTCTCTCCCACCCCGTCTCCCCCCCTCGCTTGTGGTTTTGGGGGTCTCTTCATCCCCCGACCCTTCTCACCCCCTGCTCCGGGTGCTGTGGGGTCTCTCCCACCCCCTCTCCCCCCCTCGCTTGTGGTTTTGGGGGTCTCTGCATCCCCCGACCCTTCTCACCCCCTGCCCCGGGGGCTGGGCGGTCTCTCCCAGCCCCTCTCACCCCTCCCTTGGTATTTTGGGGGTCCCTCCCCGACCCGCGGGACCCCTCCCCGCCGTGTCCCCGCCGTGTCCCCGCCGTGCCCACCTCGTAGGTGCTGGTGAGCCCCAGGCGGTAGAAGACGGGCAGGAAGAGCTGCGCGGTGAGCGCGCTGTTGATGATCTGCGCCAGGCACATCCAGAGGAATTTGGCTCCGTAGCGGAACGCCTCGGCCGGCACCCCCAGCACCTGGATGGCCGACATGAAGCTGGCGGACAGCGACAACCCCACGGGCAGCGCCGACATCCTCCGGCCGCCCGTGAAAAAATCCTCCGAGGTTTTCTGGCCGCCCTTGGCCAGCCCGTGGAAGAGCCCGATGGCCGTGGAGATCAACAGCATCAACGCGAAGACTCCGTAATCCCAGGGGCTGAAGGTGAGCTCCCCCCTGACCCTTCTCACCCCCTGCTCGGGGTGCTGGGGGGTCTCTCCCACCCCCTTTCACCCCCTCCCTTGGTGTTTTGGGGGTCCCTGCGTCCCCTCGCAGCCCCGTGGGACCCCGTTTCCTCTGCCTTGGCATTCTGGGGGGTCTCTGCGTCTCTCCGAGCCCCTCTCCTCCCCTCCCTTGGGGTTTCTGGGGGCTCTCTGTATCCCCTGATCCTTCTCACCCCCTGCTCGGGGTGCTGTGGGGTCTCTCCCACCCCCTCTCCCCCCCTCGCTTGTGGTTTTGGGGGTCTCTTCATCCCCCGACCCTTCTCACCCCCTGCCCCGGGCGCTGGGCGGTCTCTCCCAGCCCCTCTCACCCCTCCCTTGGTATTTTGGGGGTCCCTCCCCGACCCGCGGGACCCCTCCCCGCCGTGTCCCCGCCGTGTCCCCGCCGTGCCCACCTCGTAGGTGCTGGTGAGCCCCAGGCGGTAGAAGACGGGCAGGAAGAGCTGCGCGGTGAGCGCGCTGTTGATGATCTGCGCCAGGCACATCCAGAGGAATTTGGCTCCGTAGCGGAACGCCTCGGCCGGCACCCCCAGCACCTGGATGGCCGACATGAAGCTGGCGGACAGCGACAACCCCACGGGCAGCGCCGACATCCTCCGGCCGCCCGTGAAAAAATCCTCCGAGGTTTTCTGGCCGCCCTTGGCCAGCCCGTGGAAGAGCCCGATGGCCGTGGAGATCAGCAGCATCAGCGCGAAGACTCCGTAATCCCAGGGGCTGAAGGTGAGCTCCCGCACGTCCTGGGGTCCCTGCGGAGCTGCCATGGTCGCTTAGGGCTGGGGGGGACCCCAAAAGGAGCAGCTGAGGGTGGGACTCGGAGCGGGGTTAGGCCGGGGCTCGGCGGCAGCGGCGCATCCGAGGGGGGAGACTGGAGGGAGAGAGAATTCCCTGGAATGGGCGAGCCGAGCGAGAAGCAGGAGCGGGCAGCGGGATTTGGTGCCGCACCCTGTGCCCTCTGTGCCCTTCCCAGGAGCGGGTTGTGCCAAGGGGTGCCAAAGGGCAGAGTCCGAGGAGGAACAGCCAGAATTTGGCAGGGGAATTGCCCCGATCCCTCCCGGGTCACCGGCTCCAGGGAAGCGTCGGCACCCGGAGGGACACGGGAGGGAGAGAGGGAGAGACCCCTCCCCAAAGCAGCGCAAACAAGGAGGGGCAGAGCCTCCGGCGGAGCCAAATTTATCTCCAGCCGAGGGGAAAAAACAACAAACCCGAAAGAAACCTTTACCCCAGCAGGAGCAGGTTGTTTGCCGGCCGAGCGGGACGGACCGGCTGCGCCGAGCCCGAGGAGCCGAGCGGGGGCTGCTCCCCGGGGAGGGGTCCCTGCCGCGTCCCCGGAGCTGTCGAGGGCCCGGCGATGCCTCGGGCTGCTCCAGCACGTTCAGGCCGTCGGGGAGGGAGCCGCGGCGGGGAGGATGGAGCTGTGGGCGGCCGTGGCCATAAATAACCCCTTCCCTGCCGGACGGCCGCGGTGCCGCGGAGCTCCGGGCCCCGGCGCTGAGCCGCGGCGGTGGCGGGGCAGGACGGTGGCTCCTGGAGGGATACGTGGCACCGGGCGTGGGGCTGGCACCGTTTCCTCATTCCCTGCCACCAACGCCACCTTGTCCCGCCCGGGTCCGGACAGGTTTGGGGATTTCCAGGCTCTTGTCCCAAACCCCGCGGGTGAGGTCGGGGTTGGGGCAGGGGAAGAGCCCTGAGGTGGGGACAGAGCTGCTGTGCGGGCAGTGTGGCCTCTGATGTGTCACCGTCCCCTCCGAGGGGTAACCAAGGGGGAAGAGTCCCCTCCAGGGTGTCACCACGGGGGCACCGTCCCCTCCACGGTGTGGCCACGGAGGAACTGTCCCCTCTGAGGTGTCACTGCAAGGTCACTGTCCCCTACACAGCATCACCACGAGGTCACTGTCCCCTCCAGGTCATCACCGTGGTGGCGCTGTCCTCTCCAGGCCGTCACCACGAGGTCACTGTCCCCTCCAGCCCATCAGCATGAAGGCACCGTCCCCTCCGAGGTGTCACCACGGAGTCATTGTCCCCTCCCAGCTGTCACCACGAAGGCCCCGTCCCCTCTCATACACCACGGCCAGGTCCCCGTCCCCTCCCCGGTGTCACCACGGGGCCACCGCCCCCTTTGAATTGTCCCCGCGGGGGGGACGAGGGTCCCTGTTCCTGCCTCCAGCCCTGGTGGTGGCATTGTCCCCACCAAGTGTCCCCGGTGGGGGGACAGGGCAGGACAGGACCCCTTCCCCTCCCCACCGCTGCGCCGCCTCCTCGCCGGGCTTGGAGCAGCTCCAGGGGAAAAAACAGCGACTTTGGGCCACATCCGCCGGGCGGGGACGTGCGACACCGCACGGGCCCGGGGCTGGCACACGCCCAGCCCCGCGGTGGCACCGGCGACAGGACCGGGGCCAGGAGGGGCACTGGGGGTGGCAGTAATGGGGGGCAGGGAGGGCTGGCAGCGCCGTGGCTGAGCTGCCCGGGCAGAGCATCCTCGGTACCTGTGGTACCCACGGCGCCAGCACCGAGGGGTGCCCGGAGGGTCTCCGAGGCTGGCCAGATGGGACCCCGAGGGTGGCCAGATGGGACCCCGGGGGTGGCCCGATGGGACCCCGGGGGTGGCCAGAGGATCCCCAGGGGTGCCCAGAGGGTTCCTGGGGGTCCTCAGAGCGTCCCTGGTGGTCCCCAGAGCATCCCCGGGAGTGCCCAGAGGGTTCCCAGGGGTCCCCAGAGTGCCCAGAGGGTTCCCAAGGGTCCCCAGAGTGTTCCCGGCGGTCCCCAGAGTGTCCCCGGGGGTCCCCAGAGTGTCCCCGGGGGTCCCCAGAGTGTTCCCGGGGGTGCCCAGAGGGGTCCCCGAGGGTGCCCAGAGGGGTCCCCGAGGGTGCCCAGGTTTCCAGCCCTTCACCCTCCAGCCACCCCCTGGCTGTGCCCCGGGGTGTCGCATGTTGTCCCCCCTCCCCTGGCAGGAAGCCGCACGCCCAGGAGGCCTCGGGCAGGAAGGAAGTCGCCCCGGGGGATTTTTTATCTCTCCTTCGCTCGCAGCCACCTACGCACCCCCAGAGCCCCGATCTGGCAGCGCAGCCCCTCCGGGACCCCCTCCCCAGGCCCGCAGTGAGGCCCCTGGCACGGCAGAGGTACCGGGGGGGCTGCGGGAGGGGGCCAGGCCGGGATGGAACCGGGATGGAACCGGGATGGGGCCGGGGATGGAACTGGGGTTCAACCGGGATGGAACTGGGATGGGGCTGGGATGGAACTGGGATGGAACTGGGGTTCAACTGGGATGGAACCAGGATGAAACAGGGGATGGAACTGGGATGGAACCGGGATGGAACCAGGATGGGGCCTAGGATGGAACTGGGGTGGAACCAGGGATGGAGCCGGGATGGAGCCCGGGATGGAACTGGGATAGAAGAGGGATGGAGCAGGGATGGAACCAGGATGGAACAGAGATGGAAGTGGGGATAGAACCGGGTTGGAACCAGGATGGAACCAGGGACAGAACCGGGATGGGGCTGGGATGGAACCAGGGATGGAATGGGGATGGAACCAGGATGGAACAGGGAGGGAACAGGGGATGGGGCTGGGATGGAGCCGGGGATGGGGCTGGGATGGAGCCGGGGAGGAGCCCAGGATGGAGCTGGGGAGGAGCTGGGTCCCCCCTGCTCACACCGGGAGCACTGAGGCAGAAGAGGAGCGGCCAGGAGGGTAGGACAGGCTGGGAGAGAGGGGGGATATCCAACCGCGTGCCTCAGTTTCCCCTCCCTCCTTCCCAGGAGGGGCCCATCGCAGCCCTGCGGGTGCTGCCGCGGGGTTTGACCACGGCGAGGATGATGAGGGTGGGACAAGGGGGTCACTCCCAGCCTCCCTTTCCTTGCAGCGCCCGCCATGGCCCCGCTGGGCAAGGAGACCCCGCTGATCGGGGGCCGCTCCTGCAGCCTCTCGTCGGCCGAGAGCGGCACCCTGCAGGTGTTCCTGTACCACCGGGCCCCCGCCCCGCCCCGGGCCCCGGGCAGCGCCGCGGGCACGCTCAGCTTCACCTTCGGCGAGTACACGGCCGAGGAGCTCTGCGTGCGCGCTGCCAAGGCCTGCGGTGAGCGCCGGGCAGGGGCGGCTCGGGGCACCCGCCTGGGAGAGGGGTCCGGGTGTGGGGTATCCTGGCTGTGGGGTTTGGGTCCTGTGCTCGTCCTCAGCAGGGAATTCTGGCTGTGGACTCTGGATCCCAGCAGTGGGGATGGGGTCCTGGCTATGGGGTTTGTGTCCTGACTGTGGGGTTTGTGTGCTGGCTGTGGGGTTTGTGTCCTGGCTCTGTGGTTTGTGTCCTGGCTGTGGGGTTTGGGTCCTGGCTCTGTGGTTTGGGTCCTGGCTCTGGGGTTCGTGTCCCAGCAGTGGGGTTTGGGTCCTGGCTGTGGGGTTTGTAGCCTGGCTGTGTGGTTTGGCTCCTGACTGTGGGGTTTGTGTCCTGGCTGTGGGGCTTTGGTCCTGGCTCTGTGGTTTGGGTCCTGGCTCTGGGGTTCGTGTCCCAGCAGTGGGGTTTGGGTCCTGGCTGTGGGGTTTGTAGCCTGGCTGTGTGGTTTGGCTCCTGACTGTGGGGTTTGTGTCCTGGCTGTGGGGTTTGTGTGCTGGCTGTGGGGTTTGTGTCCTGGCTGTGGGGTTTGTGTCCTGGCTGTGGGGTTTGTGTGCTGGCTGTGGGGTTTGTGTCCTGGCTGTGGGGTTTTGGTGCTGGCTGTGGGGTTTGGGTCCTGGCTCTGTGGTTTGTGTCCTGGCTGTGGGGTTTGGGTCCTGGCTGTGGGGTTTGTGTCCTGGCTGTGGGGTTTGTGTCCTGGCTGTGCACTTGGTGTCCAGTCGTGAGCTCAGGATCCCGCTGATGGGCTCAGGGTCCCGAGCACATCCTCCACAGGGGATCCTGCCTGTGGGTGCGGGGTCTCAGCCCCGAGCTGAGCCCTGGCCAGGGCTCGGGTCCCAGCCTGGTCGGTGCCCAGGCGTGCTGCCCGTGTGCCACCCGCTCTTCGCCCTGGCCACGGAGGACCTGAGCTGCTGGTTCCCCCCCAACCACGTGTTCACCGTGGACGAGTCCCGCAGCCAGCTCGTGGTGTACAGGCTCAGGTGCAGCTCCCCCCGTTCCCTGGCAGCTCCGGGGGTCCTGCCCTCTGGGGGACGCAGCCCTGAGACCCCTCCTCTGTCCCCGGCAGGTTTTTCTTCCCCAACTGGTGCGGACTGGGACAGTCCCACCGCTTCCAGCTGCTGAACGGCCGGGCCAGCCCCGTGCTGGATTATCCCGTCATTGATTACCTGTTTGCCCAGGTGAGGGCTGCCAGCCTGCCTCCTCCTCTCCCTCATCATCATCATCATCATCATCATCATCCCCCAGGCTGTCTTTGTCACCTGTGGGGACCAGGATGGTGCTGGGGGTGGTTTTGGGGTGTTCTGACCCCTCTCCTCCTCTTCTTCCACTCCTCCTCCTCTTCATCATCATCATTGTCATCCCCTGGGCTCTCTTTGTCACCTGTGGGGACCAGGATGATGCCAGGGGTGTTTTTGGGGTGTTCTAACCCCTCTCCTCCTCCTCTTCTCCTTCTTCTCCTTCTTCTCCTTCTCCTCCTTCTTCTCCTTCTTCTTCTTCTTCTCCTTCTTCTCCTTCTTCTCCTTCTCCTCCTTCTTCTCCTTCTTCTTCTTCTTCTCCTTCTTCTCCTTCTTCTCCTTCTCCTCCTTCTTCTCCTTCTTCTTCTTCTTCTCCTTCTTCTCCTTCTTCTCCTTCTCCTCCTTCTTCTCCTTCTTCTTC